CGGGGTCGATCGTCGCAACGTGATGCGCTCGCCATGGTGTCCGCCGGGTAACTGATCTCTGTACACAAAGGGGACCCACGCTGGATTTTTTTCCCAGGCGGGGTTTGTTTATGTTTGGTCGAGGCTCGCTGATGACTACCCCTATCCCAGGCGGGGCGTTTAAATTATAGCGCTAGACACGAAATCATATATAAATGATGTGCGCGGTTCCGGTTTTGTCACTGATATCATTTATATATGATATGCGCGGTTTGAGGGTTAGCCCTCAAACCGCGCATATCATATATAAATGATATCAGTGACAAAACCGAAACCGCGCACATCATTTATATATGATTTCGTGTCTAGCGCTATAATTTAAACGCCCCGCCTGAGATAGGGGCAGCTATAGTACAACCACGACCAATAGTTGCCAGATGCCACCTAGAAAAAAAATCGAGGCCAACATTCTTGGGTGTTACAGCGTCAGTATTGAGCAAGCCACCAAGGCTGGCGCACCCAGCACCAGCTCACAGCACCGCTGTTCAGCTTGTGACCACAGCATCGCCTACAAATACCATAATATAAATGATACTGCTATTATTTAGCAGTGATAGTATTACTGAAGCCCCCTGACTGTGATAAAACTGACCAGGATTCTGATAATAGCAGGATTGTGGTGATATTTAGCACTGTGCTCCATGGAGGGAGGTGTAAGGCTGTGGGAGGGAGGGTTGTGGCGTCGTTTTCTGACTGTATGTGGCCACCATTTATTGACTGCACTCACCATACCAGCTTAGTGGTTCGCTATGGTGAACACAAATGTAGATACTTATATATAACGTGTGTATAGTGTGAGATAACAGCGAGAGGAGTAGGTTGGGAGCCGCCATTTTGGTGAGGGAGGAGCGTCGTCTGCACGACTTGGCATGTTGTTTACTGATGGCCACTATGGTCTTTGGGCACCATGGCAGCTTATTTGTACAGGTATGGTGAATAAAACAGGTAGATACTTATATATAATGTGTGTATATAGCGTAATAATACCACAAACAATATTGTTGGAGGACAAATATTAGTGCGTCTGGCCTTGAGGGCGGCCGCCGATCAGCTGACTGTGTGAGTAGCTACGTCTTATGGCCTTTACTCACCATACAAGCTTAGATGTACAGTTATGGCGAACAAAACATGTAAATACGTATATATAACGTCTGTGTATAGTGAATAAATACAGAAACAGAATTGTGGGAGGTGAATGAGGGTGAGTGAGGTGGTGTTGAGGGAGGGAGAGGCAGTGAGTGGCTCGCTGGTGTTTGGCGGTCACTCCTCGTTGCTTTTTGGCTCACAAGACCAACTTAGTAGTTTGTTATGGTGTACAAAACATGCAGATACTTATATATAACCTGTGTATATAGTGTAACAACAGCAAAACTTTTTGTTTATTGTTTTATGAACATAATAATTGAATCACTAATATGCACACCATAATTTTGAGCACAGCGATGGTTCACACATTTTATAATATAAATATACCACAATTCACTGTATGGAATAATATTACTGCAAAAAAACTAAGAAAAAATAAATCAGAAACATTGAAATAATTAGATAATAATATATTTGTGGCAACTGCCGTCTGACAGCTCGGGCGGAGTAGATCTCGTCTGGCGAAGGCTCTGCCAACACCCCTTTTTTGCCACACTTCCCAACCCTATTGCGGCTAAAATATGCCACCTACGATTTTTTTGTTATTTTTTCCGTGATCAGGGAACAAAAATGAACACTTCTCTAAGACGAAAGAATTTTTTGAATTTTTTTTTTTTGCGCCTGTGGGTGTGAATTCCATTTGGGCCCCTAGCGGTTTGAGGGTTAAGTAGCGAAGACAGTGCGTCTTAATCCCTTCAAGCTATGGTGAACCAATCCATAACACACCACACCAGAGACTTGCAAGGGGGTTACCAGGGCATGAAGGCTGCTATCCAAGCAGGACACCAGGCACCGGGGCCTCTTGCAGGAAGAACTCGCTAAAACAACCAAAACAAGCAAGCTACGAATGACAAGGATGGCACACATATATATAGCCAAGCACTTGAACCCCAAGTGTATCCCAGCATAACCACCAGAACACAAAGGCTTTCAACAGACTTCCACATAAGAGGTTGTTCTGGAAACTGGAAAATATTGGAGGAATGACAGGTACGCTTCTAACATGGATGAAAAATTTTCTGACTGATAGAAAAATGAGGGCTGTGATCAGAGGCAATGTATCGGACTGGAGAAATGTCACAAGTGAAGTACCACAGGGTTCAGTTCTTGCACCAGTGATGTTTATTGTCTACATAAATGATCTACCAGTTGGTATACAGAATTATATGAACATGTTTGCTGATGATGCTAAGATAATAAGAAGGATAAGAAACTTAGATGATTGTCATGCCCTTCAAGAAGACCTGGACAAAATAAGTACATGGAGTGCCACTTGGCAAATGGAATTTAATGTTAATAAATGCCATGTTATGGAATGTGGAATAGGAGAACATATACCCCACACAACCTATATATTATGTGAGAAATCTTTAAAGAATTCTGATAAAGAAAGAGATCTAGGAGTGGTTCTAGATAGAAAACTATCACCTGAGGACCACATGAAGAATATTGTGCGTGGAGCCTATGGCACGCTTTCTAACTTCAGAATTGCTTTTAAATACATGGATGGCGATATACTAAAGAAATTGTTCACGACTTTCGTTAAGCCAAAGCTAGAATATGCAGCAGTTGTGTGGTGCCTATATCTTAAGAAGCACATCAACAAACTGGAAAAGGTGCAAAGACATGCTACGAAGTGGCTCCCAGAACTGAAGGGCAAGAGCTACGAGGAGAAGTTAGAGGCATTAAATATGCCAAAACTAAAAGACAGAAGAAAACGAGGTGATATGATCACTACATACAAAATAGTAACAGGTATTGATAAAATCGATAGGGAAGATTTCCTGAGACCTGGAACTTTAAGAACAAGAGGTCATAGATTTAAACTAGCTAAACACAGATGCCGAAGAAATATAAGAAAATTCCCTTTCGCAAACAGAGTGGTAGATGGTTGGAACAAGTTAGGGAAGAAGGTGGTGGAGGCCAAGACCGTCAGTAGTTTCAAAGCGTTATATGACAAAGAGTGCTGGGAAGACGGGACACCACGAGCGTAGCTCTCATCCTGTAACTACACTTAGGTAATTACTTAGGTAATTACTCCCAGTCCAGGAGAGGAGTCAGAAACCCCCTGAACAGCCCAAGGTGAGGTTCTCCACCCCAGTGGCCTGGCCTCTCAAGGGCTAACTCCCAAACACACCAGAGAAAGTAACTCCTTCAATACAAGGTCAGTGCTAGTGAGCACCCAGGAAAGGAAGCCCTGAGCACATGCAGTTCGAAGCATAACATAATCTAAGCCCACACAACTTAGCTTGTGTGGACTAACTTAGTTTCTTGTGTGAGAAAATGCACTCATGAATCTTTATACTAAAAGAAAGGAGCACAGTTCAAGGCAAATAGCCCCCCACAGGACAGAATCCAAGGATGGGTGGCACATAGCTTGAAGCAGAGGGGACTCGCTATGTCTGATGGACCCAGAGCACTACTGGTAGAACCATCCACCAGAACATAAGCAACAGAACTGAGTAGGGGATCTGGCTGAGGGCATGGGTTGGGCTGCTTGGTGGTGGCAATCATTACTAGTGAGGTTTGAGCTAGTTTGAGTGGCTCTCTTCTTCCATGTGAATTGTTTGTGGCAACCCGTCCTCGACTCAAGTCCATTACATCCAGCGGTCGACCCCACAGATGCATTCATAAATTTTTACATGCTGTTCATTCAAAACAGGAATTTTCTCAAATATAAATTAATATTATAATATATTAGCATATTGTGCATATACAGGCATAGGTTAGGTTAGGTTAGGTGTTTAGGTTCTGTTGACAATTATTTGTATATGTAGTACTGGGTGAAGCATTTACAGTGTTGTGGTTCGAACAAAATTCGTCAGTGAAGCGCTTGTTCTGAAAATGCTTGAACGTCATCAGTTGTGAGTTGTGTGTAAACCGTTTTTCATTCATAAACAGGGGGTTTGGCAGGTGCATGGAATCACTTTTGGGTCTTTGTTTGGAGGACGGGCTAGTTTGTGGAGTTGTTTGGCGGTTTCAAGGCCTTGTTACGATGAACACTCCAGTTGTCTGTGAAGCTTTACTGACTTTTTGGATGGGTTTGCCAATGGACTGGCTAATTGCCACTCATGCTCTGTGCCTCTGTAAGGGGGCCCCTGGTTCTGCCACTGGTCCCCAGTAGACCAAATAGAATTCCTGCATCTGATTTATCCATTAGAATGGAGCAATCTCAGTGAGATAGCTTCAGGTAGTTATCAGGGGGCTCTCCCAGATAGCCTCCAACAGGAAAGAGTTTGAAGGATGGCAAACACTTATCGGAACATCTGAGACCCAAAGAACTGGTAATTCAAGGAGCAGGTCAAACTTGCCTGACATCAGGCAAATAACTGATCATTGATGATAGGAGCTGACAGTTCCCATGGTGCTGCCACCTGGTGGTGGCCAGCTGTAACTTGGAGGTATGTCCTAGCTACTGGATAGATTGTTTGCAGAGTTATTTTACTGTATTGTCTACTTTCTCTGAACCTTGCAGTTGTCTCTTTTGCTTTGCTTCCTTTGGTGACAGTGATGAGGAATCCCCTGCTCCCCATGCCTCTGAGGGGAACCAGGTTTTGGCAACAAGTCTTCTGTTGGCTATTAAGGACTGCTAGAGTTAATGTGACTTGTGTACATGGATCTTCCTCAGTTCGGCTAGCAATAGGGATCCACCATTGAGCTCCTCCAGAAAAGTAAAATCAAGGAAAGTGGAACCGCAGAATAACCCAGAAGGGTTTTGACCATGATTTGAATTAGTGAGTAGTTACTGTGTTTATACTTAACAGGAAAAACTTGGCATGTGTAATAAATTTTTAAATTTTTGTTTAAACTTGCAGTGGTTGCAGATGAATCCCCAGCACAGGTATTCCATGGACTGGATAGCCTGGTAAACCACTTTTCTCAGAATCCAGTTGGAGCTTCAGCCACCATTCTCTGTCACCCGTGCCTTGGAGAACAGCTTCCAGCTGAGGTTAGGCTTCATGGTTCATCCAGTCTTCTTCATAGGTCAACCAGTCAAGGTAGGTATACAGTATACAGTCCAGTAGATGGAATGTTGGGAGTTGTGACTATTATCTGAACTAAGGTCCCTCAGGAACTTAGTTCAGATAATAGTTATATATGATCTTATATATGGTCATATATGCATATAAGGTCATATATGACCTTATATGCATATATCTATTTAGAAAATTCTATTGCAAATAATTTGATACCAAAATGAACGATGTAACACAAAAATTGACATGAGAAAACTGATAAGAGTATACACATTTTAGTGTGGGTGCGCGCTCATGGAAAACGCCAGGCCCACCTTGGGGTGGGCTGGGGCGCACACGCTGGGCCGCTCAAAGTCAGACTAATGTATTTTATATTAGACCGGGACATTAGCTATGGAGTTCAGACCTACCAGGGACCATGAGCCAGAAACTGGCCCCTTCAGAGAGGTTTCAGGGAGCAATGGCCCTGGAAAACCCCCTTGTGGTTGGGGTTTTTCCTTATCTGCCATCGACCAGGGTTAAGCACCCAGAAAGGTAGGCATAAGAAAACAAACCCCACATGGTAAGAAACTAACAACAAAAACCGAGCAGAAATGTAGAACTTCCTTTAGTCCAAAAGAAACAAGCAAATGTAACACACTATTGCCACGCCGCTCGTCCGCGCAGTCCTCCCCTCCCCGAGAGGGGGAGGGGGGGGGGGGGAAGCCCTGGACCTCACCGCACCGGCTGCATAGCACTCCAGTTTGTAAGCTAATGTCAACCGGGACAGACGCTTCTCTGGCCTCAGTTTCCTAGGCGGTGTTTGCCTCCGTGGCGCTCACTGCTGTGATTATGTGTTGTGTGGTGGCCAGGTGTTCCTCATCAGTTCTGGGGCTTCCTTCCCTAAGTGCCCTGTGAATACTTCCCCTGCATGTCAGGTTATCTTCCCTGGGGGAATTCTGGACCTATTCCCATAGGGCTTCTTGCAGCTTGACATTTGCTTCGCCCTTGAGGCCAGCTGGGGCTTGGGGCCCTTGTTTGGCCTTGGGTAGGGACTGGTATCGTGCTGGTTGGGGCATCAAGATGTTGTGCTACCTGCTACCTACGCGGCGACCGGTTCCTGTGGCCACTGAGGACGGTGTACTTTTGCCGGGGTTTTCTTTTTTTTTGTTTTCATTGGCCTGGTGGAGGTCTGCCTAGTGTGGCTATAGTTCCACTGGTATTGTTTGGTGGTCCTCTGCTAGGTCCCCCGTGATTGTACACATCGCAGAGGTTTTCAGTGTTAGTATCTACCCCCTTGTTAGCTTTGGGTGTTAACTGGTTAGCGACACCTTGCCCAGGCTTCCCGTAGTCGTCACCCTATGGGCCCTGAAAAACCCTGTCGGGGCTCGGTAGACCAGTGGATGTGTCTTCCAGGTTCCAACCCGTCTTGTGTGGTTTCGTTGGTTGCTGTGCCCTTATCTCAGGGTGACAGTCATCTCTTTTACCTCCATCATGCTGCCTGTTGGGTCACTGACACCTTGACCCAGAGTCTTGTGAGTTGTGTTCTCTGCTTGTTCTCCAGTACTCTTGTGATGTCCTTACTGTTAAGAGTACAGACGGCATCCGCGTTGCATGCTAAGTTAGGTTACTGCAACATGCTAGGTTGGTTTCCCACCCGGATGCCCCGGGGCCACCTCATTTCGGTTAGGTGTTGTTCACCCCTTTTCCCTCCCTGTTCCCGGCTTCTGACCGTCTGCTGGTTTTGGGGTCGGGGCAGAATTTAGTTGTGCCGAGATTCGGGCGGCTTCGGGGGCTGCCCCGTTCAGGTTGGGAACAGAGGTTTTCGAGCCTGTTCCTCCTGCTGAAGCTTTTGGGTCTTACCAGCGGCTCTTTCTTTGCTGCCTTTCCCCTAGACTACTCCTTTTCTTTAAGGGCAGAGGGCGTGGAGGACGGCTCCGCCCCAGAGCCTTTGTTGTGGGTTCCCGGGGCTGTGGGGGATGCCCGCAAGCAGTTCTGAGGCTGTTTGCCCCTGCCTGGGTTTTCTGCTTTCTGGGCGGGGTTTTTCGTCCCTCTCGTCTGCTTACATCCCACATTTGCTGGCGTGATTTCGGATCTCTTGCGTCGGTCGCGGCTCCTTGTTCTGGTGGCCATTTTCTTTCTGCCGGTTGCTTCCCCGCCTGGCCACCGAGGTGGCCCTGCAGTTTGTTTACCTGTGTCTGGGTGTGCGAGCTTGCGTTTTGGGGGTGTTTTTCACCTTCGGGGGTTTTATCCTCCTGTTGCCGTTTCTTTGCTTTTTCTGTGGTGTTCTGCCCTTCTTCTATTCCTCTGGGAATGCTTGGGTGTTGGTTTTTACACCAGTTTTTGCATTTTCTGTCTGTTTGGGTCTGGGCCCCTGGGGTTTGTGCTCAGTGTCCCTGTCTGTTTATGCTTGCTCCCACACCTTGTGTCCCTGGGTTTTCGGTCCGTTTTGGCAGTTTCACTAGGGGTTCTGTCTGGGTGCTGTGCTTTGCCCTTTCTGTGGTGTATTTCTCACGCCCAGTTCGTGGGTGTTTTTTGGATGTCTCCAGCCTTTGGTGGCGTCGGGTGGCTCCTCCCCCTTTGGAGGGTTCGGGGCTGGCGGGGTGGGCTTCTTTCCCTGCACTTCATCATGTCGTCTTGGTGTGGGTGCTCTTGGACTTGGTCGATCCGCCCCAACCTTCCGGGGTTTCCGCCTTTTCCAATGCCGACACTGGACGTTGCGGATCTGAAGTTCTTCTGGACTTGGTTCGTCTGTGCCCTGGATTATTTGCCACTCTTTTAAACACTGTTGTCTCCGGTCCAGCTTCTGTTGGAGCTGGGTGCCTGGATGGTGTCCCTGGACCTCCGGGTCTCTTCTTTGCACATTCCTCTTCAGGGTTCTGGGACTGGTAGAGATAGTGGTGGGGCTTCAGGCTTGCCGCTTTCATTGCCCTCCTTAGTTTGTATTTGGCATCTCGTGTATTTGCGCATCTTTACCGGGTCTTGGTGACCTGTCTGCCTCTGCTCGGGATTCGGTTTCTGGCTTACCTTGACGACTGGCTGGTGTGGGCTCCCAGTCGATCCGCTTGTCTGCTCACCAGGGGTGTGGTTCTTTCCCAGCTCGCTGGGTTCGGGCGCCTGGTGAACTAGAGGACATTCCATCTGGTTCCGTCCCGGGTTCGGTCCTGGCTGGGTATTGTTTGGGACTCTCGGACCGCTTCTTTATCTCTCCCTCCAGAGGCGTTGATGCAGCTGCGGTCCCGCCTTCGGCTGTTTCTGAGGAGGTCCTGGGTCACTCGGCGGTTTCTTGAGCAGTTGTGCGGGAGTCAGGGGTGGCAGGTGGTGTCAGGGGAGGCAGGTGGTGTCAGGGGAGGCAGGTGGTGTCAGGGGAGGCAGGTGGTGGTAGGTGGTGTCAGGTGGTGTCAGGGGAGGCAGGTGGTGTCAGGGGGAGGCAGGTGGTGTCAGGTGGTGTTAGGGGAGGCAGGTGGTGTCAGGGGAGGCAGGTGGTGTCAGGGGAGGCAGGTGGTGTCAGGGGAGGCAGGTGTTGTCAGGTGGTGTTAGGGGAGGCAGGTGGTGTCAGGGGTGTCAAGGAAGGCAGGTGGTGTCAGGTGAGGCAGGTGGTATCAGGGAAGGCAGGTGGTGTCAGGGGGAGGCAGGTGGTGGTAGGTGGTGTCAGGGGAGGCAGGTGGTGTCAGGGGAGACAGGTGTTGTCAGGTGGTGTTAGGGGAGGCAGGTGGTGTCAGGGGAGGCAGGTGGTGTCAGGGGTGTCAAGGAAGGCAGGTGGTGTCAGGTGAGGCAGGTGGTATCAGGGAAGGCAGGTGGTGTCAGGGGGAGGCAGGTGGTGGTAGGTGGTGTCAGGGGAGGCAGGTGGTGTCAGGGGAGGCAGGTGGTGTCAGAGGTGTCAGGTGGTGTCAGGGGAGGCAGGTGGTGTCAGGGGTGTCAAGGAAGGCAGGTGGTGTCAGGTGAGGCAGGTGGTGTCAGGGAAGGCAGGTGGTGTCAGGGGAAGGCAGGTGGTGGTAGGTTGTGTCAGGGGAGGCAGGTGGTGTTAGGGGAGGCAGGTGGTGTTAGGGGAGGCAGGTGGTGTCAGGGGAGGCAGGTGGTGTCAGAGGTGTCAGGTGGTGTCAGGGGAGGCAGGTGGTGTCAGGGGAGGCAGGTGGTGTCAGGGGAGGCAGGTGGTGTCAGGGAAGGCAGGTGGTGTCAGGGAAGGCAGGTGGTGTCAGGGGAGGCAGGTGGTGTCAGGGGAGGCAGGTGGTGGTAGGTGGTGTCAGGGGGAGGCAGGTGGTGTCAAGGGTGTCAGGTGGTGTCAGGGAAGGCAGGTGGTGTCAGGGGAGGCAGGTGGTGTCAGGGGAAGCAGGTGGTGTCAGGGGAGGCAGGTGGTGTCAGGGGAAGCAGGTGGTGTCAGGTGAGGCAGGTGGTGGCAGGGGAGGCAGGTGTTGTCAGGTGGTGTTAGGGGAGGCAGGTGGTGTCAGGGGAGGCAGGTGTTGTCAGGTGGTGTTAGGGGAGGCAGGTGGTGTCAGGTGAGGCAGGTGGTATCAGGGAAGGCAGGTGGTGTCAGGGGAGGCAGGCGGTGTCAGGTGGTGTCAGGGGAGGCAGGTGGTGTCAGGGGAGGCAGGTGTTGTCAGGTGGTGTTAGGGGAGGCAGGTGGTGTCAGGGGAGGCAGGTGGTGGCAGGGGTGTCAAGGAAGGCAGGTGGTGTCAGGTGAGGCAGGTGGTATCAGGGAAGGCAGGTGGTGTCAGGGGGAGGCAGGTGGTGGTAGGTGGTGTCAGGGGAGGCAGGTGGTGTCAGGTGGTGTCAGGGGAGGCAGGTGGTGTCAGAGGTGTCAGGTGGTGTCAGTGGAGGCAGGTGGTGTCAGGGGTGTCAAGGAAGGCAGGTGGTGTCAGGTGAGGCAGGTGGTGTCAGGGAAGGCAGGTGGTGTCAGGGGGAGGCAGGTGGTGGTAGGTGGTGTCAGGGGAGGTAGGTGGTGTCAGGTGGTGTTAGGGGAGGCAGGTGGTGTCAGGGGAGGCAGGTGGTGTCAGAGGTGTCAGGTGGTGTCAGGGGAGGCAGGTGGTGTCAGGGGAGGCAGG